ACACGCTCTGTGTCAGCCTTTTTAATTTAATAAATTTGTATTTTTGGAGCCTTGGTGTTGCCGCCTTTGATTTACATTTAATAGTCATGTCAAAACAATTAGTAAACCAGCATACTATCATCTCAGAAACATTGCAAGAATCAGATGCTTTGTTTCCAGTGAGGACTTAGAGACCCCTGTTCATGCTTTTATCAGCAGCAGGGTGGATTACTGTAACGGCCTCCTCACTGGCCTTCCTAAAAAGACAGTCAGACAGCTGTCGCTCATCCAAAACACTGTGGCCATGATTCTAACTATAACCAGGAAATCAGAGCACATCATGCCTATCCTCAGGTCTTCACACTGGCTCCCAGTTACATTCAGAATAGATTTTAAAGTATTATTACTTGTCTATAAATCACTAAATGGCCTAGGAACTCAATACATTACAGATATGCTGACTAAATACAAACCTAACAGATCACTCAGATCTTTAGAATCATATAAACTAGAAATTCCTAGAGTTCAGTCAAAGCAGAGTGAATCAGCTTTCAGCAGCTACGCACCCCGCTGCTGGAATCAGCATTTAAACATTTTTATCTGTTTTTTTAAGTCCTTTTTATTATTTGTTTTTATTTTCTTATACGTGTCTCTTTTATTCCTGTTTATGTAAAGCATTTTGAATTGCCACTGTGTATGAAATGTGCTATATAAATAAACTTGCCTTGCCCTACATAATTCACAACATGATATAAAGGTGAAAGTGTTTATTTATAGTCAGATTGTTTCATAATTTATTATTATTTATGATCGTGCACCATAAAACCAGTCATAAGTGTATCATCATGTGAATAAGCTGAATGACCTGTTTTTGATTGATGTATAGTTTGTTTGCATATATAATATTTACCCAACTATGAATATATCTGGAATCTGAGGTCTTAAGAATCTGAATTCTTAGAAAATCGCCTTTGAAGTTTTGTTTTGGGTTGGGTTTTGATATATTTACAATTGAAAATTGACAAAATAGTTTCATGGAACATGATCTTTACTTAATATTCTAAGAATTTTCGCCATAGACGAAAATGTATAGTTCTGATCCATACACTGTACTGTATATCAACATTTACTTTTGGCAAAAATAGACCCGTGCAACTTATGGCTGGTTTTGTGGTTGAGGGTCACACTTTTTATGTAATTTATGTCATTTGTTGTATTATTTGAATTATATATGACATCTTACAAGTAATTCAAAGCAAGTATTTGATAGTATAGCAAAATGAATGACACTTTCCACATATTTCAGAGCATGTCCAACACATTGGAGGGTCTTCTTCAAGAGGAAAAGGTCCTGAATGAGGGCATTGAGAGGACTCAAGCACATGTACTTTCTCTTAACAAAGACATCCTCTCTCAGGAGGAGAAAATCAACAGAGCCGTCAAACAGGTCTGGCCGCTCTTCTGAATGTATATATTTCATATTAATCTTATGTTACATAATCTTACTGACTTCTTAAGTAATAATAAAAAGCAATAATAAATGAACAATAATTGATTAATTATTCATCATCCAGTCTTATGAAGCTTATCAATGTGTTTTTGTAACAACAAATCTTTCACATAATTTTTTTTTAGCTCAAATCACTGATTTCTGGCGCCTGCTGTATTGGTCCTAAGCACTATACCCACTTTGTTGGCCTAAGACTTAGGCACAATATATAATCAATCAGTCTCTTTATTAAAACAAGCAGAAAATAAAGGAAACATGTACAAAAAAACAACAACAGCACAACATTTTCTCTTTAAGCAAATTACTATTTTTAATTTGGCTTTCCTTGGCAACTGTTTTGTTCTACTTGTTCTGTTATTTTCTGAAATTATGTTGTGTAATCTCAAGCTTCCTTTAGCACTTTCCAGAGTTCTTCTTTAGGTTTAGAGTGCCATATCTTTCTTTTTCTGTCCGGGTGATCTCATACAGTCTCTATAATATTCAGGTCTGGATACTGTGGAGGCCATTTCATGACTGTCTTTATTTCATTAGTTTTTTTTCCCTTCTTTATATAGGATTTAAGCGGATCATTATCATTCTGAAAATGAAAACTATTACCCATCAAGTCGTTTCCATAGGGCATAATGGATTAAAACCTATACGTTTCAACATTTACAATTCCATCAATTCAGACAATATTACTCACAACACTGCTAGAATTGCATAACAAACCAGGACAAACAGCCTCTCTCCAACATTGTCTTTCACATGTCTTAAACATTTAAACCAAAATAATTCAAAGTCTAACCTAAACTCACTCCTACCCTATCAAACCATACATCGACTGAAAGATAATTTATTTAACATGTTTAAATCTCTCTCTTTTTTTAAAACTGACACTTTCAGTATGTACATTTATGACTGGTTTTTGGTAAATGGTCACATATATCCATTAAAAAACAGTTTTCATGTTAGCCTAAAAATTTTTTATAAGTATGTATGGCCAGGATAGAGAGATATAATTAATATTGATTATCTGAAATAAAACAAGTTGCCTTCTAAAAACCCCTGGATCTTTAATCTCATCCTCTTCTTGTCTTACAGTGTGCCAAATATACCAAGGAAATCCGTTCTGGTAAACAGAGCACAGAGAAAACCTTTGAAGAACGCGACATTGAGCTGCGAGAACTCCGAGATTTTAACAAAAGCATAAATAAGATGCTTCTGGATGCCATGGAGGGGAATCCTGAACTGTCATCTATATTACAGATACACTTTACGCAGGTAAAACTTCATTATTTTCTTGTTCCCCTATGCCTACATATTTGCAACATTTGTGTTTGTACAAAATGCAACCCATTATTTTTTTTCCACCAGTGAAATAGTACATACAATCAAGAGTATTTTTAAAAGTTAAAGGGATAGTTCACCCAAAATTATAATTCTGTCATCCATTGCTCACCATCTAACTCCAAACTTCAAAAATACACAAACGAAAAAGCAGCAGCCATTGACTTTCATAGTTTTTGTTCCAACTATGGATGTCGATGCTTGCTGACATTTTCAACATTTAATAGAAGAAAGAAATTTATAAATGTTTAGAACCACTTGAGTAAACGGTGAGGAAATCTTCATTTTTAGGTGAAGTATCCCTTTAAAAAAATTATATTGTATTCAGCAAGAGTGGATTACGCTAATTAATTAGAAAAATTATAATAATAAAAATATTAAGTATTTAAATATTAATGAATTTCTTCTTAAAATACATATCACTGCTTATGTTATATATCAAAATACACTCACTGGGCACTTCATTAGGTACACCTGTCCAACTGCTTGTTACTGCACATTTCTAATCAGCCAATCACATGGCAGCAACTCAAGGCATTTAGGCATGTAGACATGGTCAAGTTGATCTGCTGCAGTTCAAACTGAGCATCAGAATGGCGAAAAAAGGTGATTTAAGTGACTTTGAACGTGGCATGGCTGTTGGTGCCAGACGGGCTGCTCTGAAAATTTCAGAAACTGCTGATCTACTGGGATTTTCACGCACAACCATCTCTAGGGTTTACAGAGAAAATATTCAGTGAGCATCAGTTCTGTGGGCGCAAATGCCTTGTTGATGCCAGAGGTCAGAGGAGAATGGCCAGACTGGTTTGAGATGAAAGAAAGGCAACAGTAACTCAAATAACCTCTCGTTACAACTGAGGTATGCAGAAGAGCATCTCTGAACACACAACACGTCCAACCTTGAGGCAGATGGGCTACAGCAGCAGAAGACCATACCGGGTTGCCACCCCTGTCAGCTAAGAACAGGAAACTGAGGCTAAAATTCATGACAAGCTCACCATAATTGCACAAAAAAAAAGATTGAAAAAACATTGCCTGGTCTGATGAGTCTTGATTTCTGCTACAACATTCGGACAGTAGGGTGAGAATTTGGCGTCAACAACATGATAGCATAGATTCATCCTGCCTTGTATCAATGTTTTGAGCTTCTGGTGGTGGTGTAATGGTGTGGGGGGTATTTCCTTGGCACATATTGGGCCCATTAGTACCTATTGAGCATCGTGTCAACGCCACAGCCTACCTGAGTATTGTTGCTGACCATGTCCATCACCTTCTGATGGCTATTTCCAGCAGGATAAAGTGCCATTTCATAAACCTTGAATCATCTTAGACTGGTTTCTTGAACATGACAATGAGTTCACTGTACTCAAATGGCCTCCACAGTCACCAGTTCTCAATCCAATAGAGCAACTTTGGGCTGTGGTGGAGCGGGAGATTCACATCATGGATGTGCAGCCGACAAATCTGCAGAAACTGTGATGCAATCATGTCAATTTGGACCAAAATCTCTGAGGAATATTTCCAGTACCTTGTTGAATCTATGCAACGATGGGTTAGGCTGTTCTGAGGGCAAAAGAGGGTCTAACCTGGTACTAGTAAGGCGTACCTAATAAAGTTGGTGTGTGTATACTGTATAATGATACGAATATTACAAATTCAGCATATTAGAATGATCTCTGAATGATCTTGTGACAGTAAAGGCTACTACTGAAAACTTAAAAATATATTAAAAATATTTATTTAAACTTTAACAATGTTTCACAGTATAACTTTTTAATGTTTTTTTTTAATAACAGTGTTGCATTTATCTGTTTTTACTGCATTTGTATAAACTGCATGTACTAGCATTTGTAAATAATTTACTCATTAATAATGGGTAATGGTTTTTTTGCTTCCTTTTTTAAGGCTGGCTTGTCTCTGCCCTCTCCTTCCTCCACACCATCTAGTCGTCTAAGCTCAAAGCCCAGCTCTGCCCGCAGTTCAGCTTCACTCCATCGGTATTCACATTACCAGAGTTTCAAAATAATGCAGATGTACAGTACTGTGCAAAAGACTTAGCCCCCCCCCCCCCCCCCCAGTTACAGTACATTTGTTGTTTTAGTGAGGGAATGAGGGCATTATTTATTACTTTTCATTCTCTTTATTAAAGTACAACCAGAAAATGCAGCTTCTAGTGGGATTTCTATTTGTTTAAGATATATGAAAGAAAAAGTCAGAGAAACGATGAAAAATTGAAAATGATGAAAAATACTAGAGTTTCTGTCTGGTTTGATCTGCATTTCTGACGGAGCTGTTGCCAAAATTGCCTAAATTGATGGGATTGTAAATGCTAAAAATTACAGACAGGTTTAATTCATCATCTAATTCCCACTAGAAAGCACCTCATTTGTGATAGTTTTTTTTTTTTCAGCTCGATAAGGATCCCAAAGACACTTCTAAATCATATTTGGAGAGAAAAACAGCTGATGAAAAACAGACAGTCATGAAATGGCCACCAAAGAGTCCAGACCTGAATATTATATAGTATGTATGATATTAGGCTGTATGAGATTCACCTAGAGAGAAAAAGTAAGATAGAACATGCTTAATATAAGAAAGAACTCCTAGAAATGCTGAAAGATGCTTAATATTACAGTTTTTCTCAGTCACTTTGGTGCATTTCTCACAACACTATTTACATTTGCACAACAGTTAATGTGTTTTTTAAAACAATTAGTCATTTGTGCACAACCTAGTAGCAGTTTCTCATTCTTTCCAAAAAATTGCAAATGCTTTTGGACAAGTATCAACTGCTTTCATTCAACTCTCTGCTGTTTTATAACATTATCATTTGCTTATGTCATGTCAGAAAAATTAACTAAACTTGTAAATGCTTATTAGTCGTTCCATATAAAACTAATAGTTCTCATTTCATTACTTGAGTCATTACATACAAAAATGTTGAACCAGTTGTCAAAATCTGTCAAGCAAATTTTATTAAAAAATTATAATCTTTATTTTCCTAAAAATGTTTTAAAAATTGAACAATTTCATGAATGATTTACAGACCTGTGTATGTTGTAGGTTCAGTTCCAGTATGTTCTGCAATATTGTTTACAGTTGTGCACAGCTCTACCCAAAGGGAGTTTAAGTTTGTTGTAAATGAGGGTGTGTATATTATTTTACACAATGCTGTGAATAAATTAGAATTGTAAAGAGTATATGCAGTAAAAATGTGAAACATACATATTCAGTGTCTTGTACTCAGATACCTCACTAAATGCAGTGATGTCTAACTTTACTGTAGTTTTCAAATGGTTGTGCAAATAGTATATAGTGCTGTCTTGAGCATTTCCAGGAAGTGTCACCAACATCTGACTTTTTGCATTGAAAAAATATAAAGAGTAAACTCATAATGAAAACATGACAAAGCCATTTGACTATTTTGTTCATAAACAATGGTGTCAGGACTTTTCATTTTGATGACACTGACACTTTCATTGACATGAATACTTGTTTTTGAGGAATGAACTATCCATTTTGAACATGTGACGCGCTTTTGCAGGTTGTCAGCTATGTTTTGCAGTTTGTACTAATTGTTTTGAGAAATGCATTAACTGTTGTGCAAAAATGCTCTAGTGTTGTGAGAAATGCACGAAAGCGACTGAGAAAAACTGTAAATTACAGATCATTTCAGAACAGAATTAACAAAAAAGTTCAAACTGTTACTCTGTGTTAAAGAGGTAAAGTAAAACACAGACTTTTGATACTAGTCTTTTGATTCCAAAAGTAATTTTGTTGTCAAAATTGCATACATATCGCCCATGTTTTCTGTTTGTATGTTAAAGGTATAGTTCACCCAAAAGTAATGACCCTGGGATAGATAGATAGATAGATAGATAGATAGATAGATAGATAGATAGATAGATAGATAGATAGATAGATAGATAGATAGATAGATAGACAGACAGACAGACGGACGGACGGACGGACGGACGGACGGACGGACGGACGGACAGATGGATGGATAGATAGATACAGTAGATAGATAGATAGATAGATAGATAGATAGATAGATAGATAGATAGATAGATAGATAGATAGATAGATAGATAGATAGATAGATAGATAGATAGATAGATAGATAGATAGATAGATAGATAGATAGATAGATAGATAGATAGATAGATAGATAGATAGATAGATAGATAGATAGACAGACAGACAGACGGACGGACGAATGGATAGATAGATAGATAGATAGATAGACAGACAGACAGACAGACAGACAGACAGACAGACAGACAGACAGATAGATAGATAGATAGATAGATAGATAGATAGATAGATAGATAGATAGATAGATGGATGGATGGATGGATGGATGGATGGATGGATGGATGGATGGATGGATGGATGTATGGATAGATAGATACAGTAGATAGATAGATAGATAGATAGATAGATAGATAGATAGATAGATAGATAGATAGATAGATAGATAGATAGATAGATAGATAGATAGATGGACGGACGGACGGACGGACGGACGGACGGACGGACGGACGGACGGACGGATGGATGGATGAATGGATAGATAGACAGACAGACAGACAGACAGACAGACAGACAGACAGACGGACGGATGGATGGATGGATGGATGGATGGATGGATGGATAGATAGATACAGTAGATAGATAGATAGATAGATAGATAGATAGACAGACAGACAGACAGACAGACAGACAGACAGACAGACAGACAGACAGACAGACAGACAGACAGACAGACAGACAGATAGATAGATAGATAGATAGATAGATAGATAGATAGATAGATAGATAGATAGATAGATAGATAGATAGATAGATAAACTTGAGCAAAAGTCTTAGATTCCCAAAGATTGGTGGTGACCTATACTTTTACACAGTACTGTATGTCTGTATATCTAAGTGTAAGCAAGTCAAAATATGCGTGACATCTTGTCTTATTTGCCCCACATACACATCAGATCCTCAAATCTATCAGCCAGCAGCAGTCCCAGAAGCCAATCTGTCTCATCCCCACAAATGAAGACTGTGGATCTGGGTCTCGGCCTCTCAGTCACATCCCCACGAGGATCTCAGCCATCCAGTGCTGGAAGCAGCAGAAGCAGCAGCAAGTGCAAGAGCCCGTAGACAGACCTAAATTCACACCACTCTCTTTCTGAAGTGCTGTCTGTCGACCGGGAAATGATTATTTATGATTACAACATTACCACCATTCTTGTGTTTCCAGTTTTACAGCATTTTGAGTGATTTGATCCATTAAATTAATTATCATTAATTTAAAAAATAAATTCCAGAAAGTATCCTTTCAACTTTACTATAAACAAACAGCTTGGTTACTGGTGAAAGGTTGGAATAATTAAAGGGAAAGTTCACCCAAAACTGAAAGTTCTGTCATTGTTTACTCACCCTTTACTTTTTTCCAAACCTGTTTGGCTTTCTTTCTTCTGTTGACACAAAAGAAGGTTTTTCGAAAAAAAACCTGTAACCATTGACTTCCAAAGTATTTGCCTTTCCGACTATAAAAATACTTGTCATTGGGGTTATTTTTAAGTTATTTCCTGAAAGTATGCTTTTGACTTTACTGTAAACAAACAGTTACGTTTATTTGTTGAGTCAATAATTCAGGTAGAAATGCGTGTAAAATTTATACAATTTAAAAATATATATACAATTTAACTCGTATTTTAAAACAAATTTCTGTGATAAAATGTAATTTTAGGTTTTTAGTGTCACAGTTAATTTAATACGTCAATTTGATTATTGTTGGTTTTTAGTTATTAATAATGGTTCATCTTTATAATTTCTGAAGGATCATGTGACATTGAAGACTGGAGTATTTGCTGCTAAAATGCTGGAGTTTTGCTGCTTTTCACGACAGGAATAAATTGCCTACAAAATAGTACTTTTAAACTATAATAAAATGTTTTAATGTAAATTAGACAGTGATCATAAGACATTCAAAATATTCAAAAACAGGAACATTACACTTTTTTGGGGGGGAAATAGGCTCATTTAACAACTCCCTTACACATGGCCAGATTAGGAACATATTGGGCCCTGGGGCTATAGCAAACCCAAGGATTAATTTTATCACCTCACAAAAGTAGCTTTTTTTGCTATTATTATTATTATTTATTATTATTATTATTGTTATTATTATTTTTTAATTAATTGGTTCATTGTTATTAATTTGCTCACTAATATTAACTAGCTTTCCACTATTTGATTTATAATTGAATATTATAAATGTTTTCTGTTTTACTAAAGTATCAATACAAGCATACAAAATTAATCACATAACATAATCTTCAAATTTTAAAGAGCCTGCCAAAATCAGCAAAAACAAACAAACAAACACAAAAACTCACTTGCAATACCTCGTTAATAAGCACTTTACAATAAATTTGTTAAATAGGGCTATCTTTTAAAGTCTCTCCCTATCTTTTGGGCTTTCCGTTAAAATTTAGCTGAGCAGATATCCCTCAAATATTTTAAAAAGCCATGCTTCTGATTTCCTGTTTGGTCATGTTTTTTTTTTGTTTGTTTGATGAAATCCAGCACCAATATTTCATTGTTATAAATGGTGATTTTCATTTATTTAAACGTTTGCTTAAACCATGTAATATTTTCATGTGATAGATACTCCGCAATGATGGACCTCATACTAACTTGTGTATTTGATTTTGATTAGATTTTTTTGTTTTACAATGCACTTGGTCAGCCTACCTTTGATTTGACCATTCTCGCGAAAAGGGACATCTGTTCACCCTTGGTGACTAAACAGAGCTCGTCAAATCTCTGATTGAGCTACAGTCACTTCAAGCCATAGTTTAGCAGCGTCACTGTTTTTAAACAGCAGCGAGCTGAAAGGATTATTTCACATTATTGACATTCGAAAGCATAATGCAGAGAGGGATTTCCCGCATCATGGCGGAAATTAATTCTTCAGCCAATCGAGGGTCCCTTCCTTTCGCCGGCCCCGGTGCTTCAGCAAAACCTATCCCTTATCTTAACTCGACCCTAGAGTTAAACAGTTGAGTTTTACCATTTTTTTTATCTATTCAGCTGATCTCTACTTTAGCTTAGCTTAGCATAAATCAATGAAATGGATTAGACCATTAACATCTCGCTCAACTTTTCAAAAAGAGTTCTAATACTTTTCCTGTTTAATTCTTCTTTAGTTACATTGTGTGCTAAGACTGACAGAGAATCAAAACTTGCTATTTTCTAGGTCGATGCGGTTTGGGACGATTGTCTCATTCTGGTGTAATAATCAAGTAACTTTCCTGCTCGACCATGACTGTAGCAAGCGCAGTGATATTATGCAGTCCCCAGCTAACTAGGTCACAGTGCTACCTAGTATCATTGCGTCTGCTGCAGCTGTGCAGCAGCAAAACACCTTTTTTATGATCTTTTTAATTGAGATGCTAATGGTCTAATACAATTCAATGATTTATGCTAAGCTAAGCTAAAAGTGCTCCTGCCAGACCCAAAGACCCATTGGCAGAATGAATTCAAAAATGGTAAAACTGTTGAACTCTCTTATTAAAAATAAGAGAGGTGTTGCTTTAATCCAAACTTCTAAACAAACACTAGCTTTTATTCACAGAACTTTTCACGTTTCGCATGACATCCACATGTCTTGTTTCATTTGTGTTAGGTGGCAGTTAAATAAACAATAAAACGCCACATTAGCGCATTGCTTTGTTCTGTGATGAATCAGAAGTATCAGGTGGAATAATTGTAAATGACTTCCTCCTATGGGTCATTGTGCTTGCTCTGACGGTTCAAGGGTGTGTTCAGTCTCAGTGTTTATGGAAACCCTATGAGGCAGTCCGTTCAATCAACGCCCTCCTACAAACCTGAAGAGCCACTGTTTGTCCATACACATCCCCCCATAGGATCATTTGCTGAAAATGGAGAAGATGGTCCACTTGGTCCTGCTCGTTGGATTTCTGGGTTTATCTGCAGGGCAGCTGATACCTACTGGTGAGTGACTGATCAAACTCTTTCTCTGACACAGTATAGAAAAAACAAAAAACTACAGAATTAGCCAGAGGTCAGCCAGGTAAAGGCTGACCTGAATTGCCGTTTTGTACCTTAGCTATTGTGTGGGAAATAGTTGTTTTTAATTCTTCCTTGTTCCAAAGGTTATTAACTAATTAATTTTAGTTTTTAATTTAGCTGAGAATGTCATTTACATTTCTTACTTATTTATTTAAGAATGTTAATGGTAATTATAGTTCCCTTTCAATTGGTCTCTTCGAATTATGCTGGACATTGACAAATGATGATTCGCTTAAAAGAACTGTATGAAAACAGGCTAATGAAATGTCTTTGTAAAGTGGCAGCTCCAGGATTTTTTGTTGAGGTACCAAGGAGGGGTTACAATAGAGTGTTTTAAGTGGGTGGGCGGGTCAAACGGTGGTTTTGAAAACACTATTGGTTGGGTTGAGGAAAGAAGGAGGGTAGGTTAGTCGATCGATTGGTCAGTCAGTCAGTTATTAGCCCCTTTCACACAGACAGACCTTTGGAAAGGTGTGTATGTGTGAACAGGCTCTTTTTGAGAATACCTTGTATTCCTTGTGCATGTCTAGAACGTGCTGACGTGAAACGCCTGCTTTAGCCAATCAGAACAGTCAGACGCATTCACGTCCGCGCGGTTTATGAGAATAAAAGCCTTTGAATATTTTACCAGACATATTTAGCTGCTAGATGTTAATCAGATAACGTTTTTATGTTCGTCTTAATGGCAACTGTGTAAATAATTATCGATAAGATGGTTATGATAAGCCGTTGTTTGTTTACCTTTAAGCTTTGCGTGTACCCGTGAAAGCACACACACATTTTATGTACATCTCGACATGTGGAAGTGTTTCTCTATATGTTTTTATCGAAGTTGTTCACAATACTGATCCGTCCACAGAGTTTGTAATGTAATCAAATGTTTACAGATACAAGCCCAGCCGTTTAGAGGTAATTTCTGGTTGATGATGTCAGAATTTACTGGTATTTTGGAATGGATGTGTGAATGCTCTTTTCCGGAAAAATTAACGTAACATAACGTCCTCGCCTGTGTGAACAGCGCTTTTTTGAATTTACCGGTAAAGTCGTTCCAGAAATTTTCCATATATTTACCGGTATCACTGTGTGAAAGGGGCTATTCAGTCAGTTGACAGCAGCCTCTGGTGGATTTACGCAAGAACAGCATGTGCGAATGGCACTCGTGAGAGAAATTTGAGATCTCAAAAAGCGTACACTGCGGTCTCTGGTGGATTTGCGAAAAACGTAGCTCTTGGGATGTATTTTTAACGTTCTCCAGAAATGTATATAGGGGTACATAATCAGAATGAGCCTGGGTTGGGGGTTTATAGGTGTGCTCAAAATGCTGTTTTTCAGCTTCAGCTCTTTCTTTACAGGCATTTCGTTAGTTGGTTTTCATACAATTCAGTAACTGGTCTTCTTAGCAAATCTCAGGGTTCCCCTATTAAACCAAAAATCAAATTCCTTAACTTGTCACTGATTTCTAAAAAAAAAAAAAAAAAGACATCCAATGAATGGAAAAACAGGCTACGTTTGTGTTTATAATAATAATATAACATTTTGCATGACTTTAATACTTATGATGAGAACAACAATGAATAATCTACCACAGATGTTTTTTTACAGTGGCTGTGAAGTGCCCCCTTGATCATATTTGATAGCTTGATAGTAGTTTTATAAGCTTTACATGTAGCTTTTCTGTTGTTACTTTTTAACGCCCAGTCTTTAAAGTGGTCATTCTGAAGCCAAAATTTTTGATCCCTCATTTTTGACTTCAAAAACTTCCAACTGATGAGCTTCAAAGGAAAAAAAAAAACAGCTGAAAAAATAGCCTAACCATAACAATAAACGTGTAACAGATACAAAAAATATAGTATAGAAAAAGTACATGTTTATAGCAACAACTAAAAATCCCTGATAAAAATAACGTTATACAGTTGAAGTCAAAATTATTCACCCTCCTGTGAATTTTTTTTTCTTTTTCAAATATTTCCCAAATTATGTTTAACAGATAAATAATTTCTTTTCACAGTATTTCTGATAATATTTTTTCTTCTGGGGAAAGTTTTATTTATTTTATTTTGGCTAGAATAAAAGCAGTTTTAAGGTTTTTTGATCTAACCATTATACATGTGCAATGGTTTGCAAAAATACCCTAACTTGCCTAATTGACCTAATTAACCTACTTAACCCTTTAAATGTCATTTTAAGCTAAATATTAGTGTCTTGAAAAATATCTAGTCACATGTTATTTACTGTCATCATGGCAAAGATAAAATAAATCAATTATTAGAAATGAGTTATTAAAACTATTATGTTTAGAAATGTGTTTAAAAAAATCTGCTCTGCGTTAAACAAAGTAATGGAAAAATATACAGGGGGCTAATATTTCTGACTTCAACTCTTTAAAAAAATCTCTGACTTTCAATGTCTTGAATAGACATTTTAAAACTCCATGATATTCCAGAAATTCCATGACTTGTGGGAACCCTGAAATCCCCATTCGTCAAACTCCAATGTAACATCACTCTCTTTCTTCCTTCAGGTAACAGTGATGTTACTCCTTCAAACATGGAAGCAACAGCAAACGGGACACAGCCGCCTGGTACATATTTTACTAGTTTGTCATTTGTCGTACATTCACATTTTACTTGTGTATTTCACTCATGAACCTGCTAGTATGGTGATCTATCATTCATGAACCCTATTATTTCCTTGAATCTCTATAAATTTCTTCTGTGGTAAATAATTCAACACGTTTTGCCAATAGTTAGTCACTGGGGTTCAAAACAACACTTGTAATATAATGTAATGAGTAATGTTTTGTGAGATGTAATAACTTTGAGCCAACTGACTTTGAAAGAAAATAAAAATATATATGACAGGTCACTTATATCACTTTATTAGAGATTAGTAGCACTTTTAATGTAACGCGCTGTCAATTCTTTCATATGCCCTGCAGTAGTAATTGGCATGAGGATGACTGTCAAATCTGTGGTTGATCTGCTCAGAAATTCAGCTGAGATAGAGCTCCTTGTGCGTCAGGTATGAATTATTTGTTTCTATTTATTTCTATTTACCATAGGACGGTTCTTAAATGTTTCACAACCTTATATAAGCCCAACACTCACAGGAAACATTCATTCATTAATTTTCCTTTGGCCTACTCCCTTATTTATCCACAGTGAAATGAACCAGCAACTATTCCGCCATATGTTTTAAGCAGCGGATGCCCTTCCAGCCCCAACCTGGAACCCCCAACCAATACTGGGAAGCACCCATACACACTCATACACTACGGCCAATTTAGTTTATTCAGTTCACCTATACCGCATGTCTTCGGACTGGCCCAGCTGGTACTCGAACCAGAGACTTTCTTGCTGTGAGGCTACAGTGCTAACCACTGAGCCATCGTGGAAACATTTTGAACCATTTCATTTTCATTCAGTTTCATTCTGTGCAATTTATGAGCGGTTTTTCTCATAGGGACCGAAAAAAGTCACCACAAGTTCAAAATTCACTGGTACCTCTGTACTTGTGGGGATATTATTTGGTGCCCACAAAGTTCTGAATACAATGTCCTGGATAACTGTGAGCCATTGATGACAGACTTCATGCAAAATAATACCTATATGTCATTAAAAGTAGCATGAAACATTAAAATGGCTAGTTATATATTTTTTTATTTGCTGTATAACTGTTCATTGCAGTGTTCTATACATCTATAAACATAAAGCGGAAAGTTTTAATATGCTCTGTCCTTTCAGGTGGAAAGTCTCATTCCTTATGCAGACAAAGGAAAAACGTCCGTTACGGTGAGAAGCATCCGGAGCAGCAGCAGTATTGCTTAAAAACATTCCTAAAATGAGCTATTATCCATCTGAATATGTCAGTGTGATTAGGCCATGTCATTCAGATTCGGAAAGAAAATTAAAAAAAATTTCTGCCTTTTTATTTCTTATTATTTTATATAAATGTTTTCTTTATTTGATTATTAAATCGGTCTTTTTTTCACTAACAATTTTGCCAGAAAAATATCTTTTGTCAACAGTGTAGCTTGAAATGTTACTCAAACATGAGACATTTTCAAGCCAAACTTAGGATGGACAAAGCAGCAAATTCCAATCCAGGCTCATTTTGAAAACGTACCTCTATATATATTTCTGGAGAGCACCAAATACATCACAGGAGCTACATTTTTTCTGGTTTTGTTTTCGTGAATCTACCAGAGACCGCTGTGTACATTTTTTGAGATCTCAAATTTATCTTGCGAGTGCCATTCGTGCCCGCTGTTCTCACGTAAATCCACCAGAGGTCGCTGTCAACTGACTGACTGATTGACTGACCCACCCTCCTTCAATAAACTCAATCAATAGTTTTAAAAAGAAATCCAGAAAAAGAAAAGCTGTCACCTAATTTTTATCAAGTTTTCAGATTTGACCACATTCACTCTCGGTTATTTACTTGATTATTTTATTTTTAGCGTCTGCTTTTTTGTCTTACCCACTTTCTGGAATCATTTTTCGATGGACTTGAACCCCGTCATCACAGTCAACTTCGCAACAGTCACATTACAGTCAACTTATTTTGGATGTCTCTCTTGTCTGCTTCATTCTTTTCAGGTTTTGGAGTCTCTTCTAATGTTCTGATGAGTTGATTGAGGTGTGTTTGATTGGCGAGAGTTTAAAAATGTATACTTTTGATGTACCTTCAGGAATAGAGTTGGGAAACACTGTTCTAGAGTCAGTTGCAGGGTGTTTTTCACCACTGCATCCAGTACTTTACATTGCACTTGGTGGTGTAAGAATTTGGATGCTGTGCTCACCCATGAAAACCCATTCCCTGTAGCTCTCTACACACTGTTCTTGACTTAATCTGAACGCCACATGAAGTTTGCAGGTCTGTAGCTATCGACTGCAAAAAACATCCGTGAAAGCAACGCACAAAATTTCTGCAATGATACTGATTATGTGCATAGCAATAAAACACGCTAACCTAGGAACCATTTAAAAACAGCAATATCTCTACATCAGAACATCGTAGGGACCTGGGTATTTTCTCGTTTGACTCATGTTAGCAAAATGGGACTTCCTGTGACCTATGCATGGTAACAATGATTAGCCAAGTGCTAATAATGATAAGCTACATGCTATTAATGATTTTCAAAGCGCGGTAACATATGCTACAAATGCCTATCCGCTTGTTAAGTGGTGACGTATTTGTGACGTATGTAATACTGTTTCTGGGTCCAATCCGCCATTCATTTGAGTAGAGAAATCATTTGTTTATTATCACGTTTTATTCCTATCACACATTAAAGTTACTTTTATATAAAGTCATAGTGTACACAACAATCTCTGGGCTTGCTACATAACAAATACCAAAAATTTAACAATTTATAAAAAAATAAATCACTTTCTGGCCATCGGATATTAGACATGGACATGTATATTGCGATCGTGATTTTCGAAAGTATTAAATCGCTTTGTAAACGTTTATTATTACCATTTAATTAGTCTTCCCATACAGTTGAATAGAGCACTTGGACCCGGAAGCCGCTTCGCGTGATGTCACACTTAACAAGCGGATTAAGCAGGCCCGGATTGGCCAATCGGGGGGACCGGTAGAGTTCTCGGTCGGCCGGTCCATTTTTTGGCTGAGAGGGCCGGTGTTTCTAGCTGCTTGCACTCTCAGCAGTTGCACTTTTTTCATTTATTTATTTATTTGACCATAGCCTCTTTCTTTTTATTGTCTCCAGCCCCATGAGCAAAATGCAACATGCAGGGTAATGATGATGTAACTATCATTCTGGCCACATAGGCATAACAGCGCCATTGTGGTCCAGTGGTCAGCACGTTGCGTTACGACGTCATCGATTCGTGTTCAATTCTCACCTGAGTAATCTTTTTTTTTTTTCATTTTTATTGTTAAGACATATAATACTGTTAGGGTTGTTGAACATTTGAAGTTCTAAAGCAGCTGTTTTCTTGAAAAAGACGTGATAGTGTAATTAGAAACTGAATTGGAAATTACCTTATTTTAATATAGTCAGTTGTGAACTGAGGTGGGCCGGTCTAATGCTTGAAACTCCAGGGCTGAAAAGGAGTCCCACTCCGGCCCTGCTACTAAGTATTAGGATTTAATTAAACACGCACATGAAGGTTGCCATTTGGCAACCCAGTTTACATTAGCAACTGATTAACAACCACCTAACAATGCTATAAGCATTTTACTGCAACCACAATGTTTCCTGCTAACTGCCATTCCCAGTCTTAGCACAGTCACGTTGGCTTTCTTAAACCAACATCGAAGTTCGTCAGCGAACTTTAGGTTCTAGTTAAAATGTAAACCAAGAATTTCGCAGACCCCTATGGCAACAAAAACAGCATTTTAGAAAGGATGCAATTCAACACATTAATGTTTTAAGGTTTATTTATACAAGTATGCACTCAAGTTTAAACTACACATACTGATCTGGCATTAGTAATGATGAATAGCACAGTAACTATATGAGCGACTGCAGAAAATGCTAAAAAAGCTACACATTTCATGATGTTTTCAGTGTATAAATCGGTAACACTATTTTGATGGTCCATTTGAGTACTAGTAGACTGTCTGCTTAATATCTGTACATGTCAGCTTACACTAACCATAACCCCAGCCTAACAGTCTACTTATAATCTAATAAGAATTAGTCAGCATGAAGATGTAATGTAACTTGAATTCAACAAACGGACCATCAAAATAAAGCTTGACCTATAAATCACATCAAAAACTCATCAGTAGACGGTGCAGTTGGCAGTGGAGTAATCCAGGCAAATCCATTCATTGGTGTATTGCCTAAAACCCTCAGCTTCCACCAGTCCGCTGCCTGCAAATACACACATAAAAGATGACTTAGTCATTTCTCTGCATGACTGGGAAAGAATGTTTAAGAGCTCTCATATTGTCAGAGTTTTTTCAAGTGTGAAAGTCTCACCGTCCATGAGGTTAAAGAGGGTGCAGTAGGTGATGCCGTTGTCCTCCAGTTTGGCCCATGCTTTAGAGACAGCATATCCCTGTTGCAGTGGGTAGAATAGTGGAAACAAAGACAAAAAGTATAAATATCCTTGAGTAATACATACATTTTCAATAGAGGAAAGAAAAAGATGACAGTAGCTATGTTTCTACCCACTTGTTTTACCATTCACCAATAAAAAAGTTTGTCCTACTTGTTTGTGTGCATATGTTTATGCATATTTTCAAAATGTATCCTCACCTTGGCACTTCCATTAGCGAATATTCAAAATGCATATTAAAAAATGCGCCAAGATGCGCATACATTTTATAAATATGCTTAAACATATGCGCACAACCAAGCAGGACAAACTTTTTTATCCGATAAAAGAAAAAAACTACTTTATTTTAATTCATCCAAAAGGTGTTCAGTCGGGTTTGGATCAGGACTCTGTGCAGGCCAGTCAAGTTGCTCCATGCCAAATGCTCATCGATACCTTTATGGACCTTGCTTTTGTGCACTGGATTTTGTTATGCAAATGCTTAGGTATTTTTAATGAAGCTAAAACGCCAAGTTTGACTCATATTTGAAGTGTTAAGATTTAATTTCTACTATTTTTAAGTATTGAGTCAAGAGATTAAGTATTAAATTCCTTATTTAATAATTAAATTACTTTTAAGACAAAATTTGGGAAGTCATTTAAAGGGGGCATATTATGCAAAAATCACATTTATAAGGGGTTTAAACACAGTTTTGTGTAATATAGCCAGGCCCTAATGGTAAAAATTAAATAATTATATATTTGTTATCATCACACTTTATTAATAAGTCTGCAGAAACACTTTGATTGACATTCTCCCTTTGTACATGTCAACAGAGGGGAAAAAGTCCCGCCCATTGATGATAATCTCTCCCTCATTAGCATAAACAGCCCTGAGAGAGAAGCAGCCTTCTGCCAATAGAATTTTTAAGTCTGCCACTATGGTGACACATGGTCATTGAAAGCTCCACCCCTTTTTAAAAGAGGGTTGGGAGCACAATCTCATTTGAATTTAAAGCGACAGTCACCAAAACAGCACATTTTGGATCAAAGACCTAAAAAAGTATAGTTTATAAAAACATTATTTGTGTTATGAAAATAGTTTTTGAGCTGAAACTTCTCATGCGCACTCTAGGGACATCAGAAACTTATTTGACATCTTGTAAAACGGGGCATAATAGGTCCCCTTTAAATAATTTTACTGATGTAATTAGTAATTAATTACTTTTTTTTTGTAACTTACCCAACACTGATCTCCACAATCCACACACATACTTAATATTACAGTATGAACGTGAATATTATCAGTGTAGTATTTTACCGTCACTCTGCAGACAGACTCCTCAGTTGCCACCAGGTGAAAGTTCAGGTCCTCTTTGCTGGTCCACTGTCTGGATGTGTGTTTAGCTACGATGTGAAATGGTGTGGCAGAAACCAACTGCAAAACACAACAGTACAATACATTTGTATGTAATACTCAGAGCTGACAACATGTTAGAACATTTAGCTCACAGGTGTCAAATCCAGATCCTGGAGGG